AAATTCACTCATTTTAATCAATAATTAGTTTGTTTAGATATTAAATAAGTGTTCAAAAACACACTTATCAATAGCTAGAGGTGAACTCAACTCAACCTGAACAATGAAATGACAGAATTGAGTTTAACGGTTCAAAAAATCTATCCAAACCAACTCAAGTCAAGTTAGTTTAGTTGTCATTCAATGGTAATTTACCTCTGAATTCTTTTTTTACAACTCAGAGCCTAAAATCAACTTGCCTATTTAGGGTCATGAGGTTTATGTCAAGTCCTAATTCTAGCTACATTTTCAATTTTAATTACGGAACATTTCGAAGTTTTGTTAAGCCTCTATTTGACACACATTCTTTCAAAATATATTATTTTATAACTCATTTTTAACCACACATTTTTCAATAAAATAATATTTTTCATCACATCAATTACTTTTTAATTACATATTTCTCATCATATCACTATTTAAAATAAATTTTTTTCTCAATAATATACATCAAACACACCCTAAATTGTCGTGAGGTTTTCTAAATAAAATTTCACTTTAGATTTTCAAAAATCTATCTCAAATTCAAAAGTAAAATCCAGGTTCATAAATTTGAACATCCCCGTTACAATTTAATAGAGATTTAAACATTTTGTCATTGGGTATTTCTAACTGTATAGCTATATTTTTTTTAAAAGGACCAACTTGTTCCTTTCCTAAATGTTAGATACGAACCGTGCAATTTTTGTCTCTCTTAACGGCCATAAGACATTTGATTAAATTGAATTTGCTCCCCCATTCATGGCAGCTGTCAAAATAAATGGCTTGATTTATTGCCCCTCTCTCTCTCTCTCTCTCTCTCTCTCTCTAGAATTCTCATGTCTATGCAGAGAAAAATCTTCAGCAGCCTCAATTGGACCAACGGAGAGAGGTTTCTCGAGTCAAAAGCTTCATCAATTTTCTAACCTGTACATTTTCCTTTTCCCGTATAAGCGTACACAGTATTCTGACTAATATTTTTCTTCCAGTTCTGTTGTTGCACGTTCTTAAGCAAAAATGGGAAATAGAAAATCTTGATTTCAGGGTGGTTTATCGTGTTCTTCTTCTTCTTCTTCTTTTCCAAGAGATGGGTATGTTAGAGTTCTATCTAATCGTGATCTTTGTTGGGTTTTGTTTGCAAGCTGGTGTTCTAAAGTCGCAGAACTTGATTTGCAACCCAAATGATTTGAAAGCACTGGAGGGTTTCTTGAGTAGGCTGGAGTTAGGTATTGAAGGATGGGACTTCAATTCATCTTCATCTAATTGCTGTAATTGGGTTGGAATCACTTGCCAATCTTTTGGTGTGAATGATTCCTTCAATTCTGATAGGGTTGTTAAATTGGAGCTTGGGAGAAAAAAGCTTGTTGGAAGCATCCATGAATCTTTAGGCAATTTGGAGCAACTGAAAACCCTTAATCTCTCCCACAATTCCTTCAAGGGGTTTATTCCTCTTTCACTGTTACATTTGCCAAAGTTAGAAATCTTGGACTTGGCCTACAATGAAATCTCTGGCTTATTTCCAAATAGCATAAACCTGCCTTCAATCAGAGTTCTAAACATTTCTCAGAATGTGATTCAGGGTCCAGTTCCTGTGGGCATCTGTAGCAACTCAACCCGGATATCGGTTTTGAATTTGGGATTCAATAACTTGAGTGGAAATCTGCCTCCTGGAATAGAGAATTGTACTTCATTGGAGGATCTCTGCCTTAGTTCCAATTTTCTCTCTGGTGGTTTACCTGAAAATCTGTTTCGGCTGCCAATATTAGCTAATTTGGCTCTTCAGGAGAATCGATTTTCTGGACAGCTGAGTGACTTTATTGGTAACCTCTCTAATCTTATTCGCGTGGATATATCTTTAAATGAGTTTTCAGGAAATTTGCCAGATGTTTTTCGTAGATTTGGAAAGTTGAAATATTTTTCAGCTGAGTCCAATGGTTTCACTGGTAAAATACCACAAACATTGGCGAATTCGCCTACTATCGTGTCACTTAGTTTGAGAAATAATTCCTTGAGTGGTATAATTGATCTTAATTGTTTGGCAATGACTAGTCTTGTTTCGCTTGATTTGGCTACCAATCGATTCCATGGGAAGATTCCTGTTAACTTACCTTCCTGTCCACGACTAAAGACTATAAATTTTGCGAAGATCAACTTCACTGGGCAAATCCCAGAAAGCTTCAAGAATTTTCAGAGTCTTTCTTACCTTTCCCTCTCAAACTCCAGTATTTCCAACCTTACAGCGGCTCTTGAAATTCTACAGCATTGTAAAAACTTGACCACTCTGGTTCTTACTTTGAATTTTCGAGATGAAGCAATGCCAACCTTTTCTAGTCTACAATTTACTGGGCTCAAGGCTCTTGTTATTGCCAACTGCAGACTCACGGGTATAATTCCTCAGTGGTTGAGTGGGTGTACAAAATTGCGACTGCTAGATTTGTCCTGGAACCGTTTGGAGGGTACAATTCCACCTTGGTTCGGCAATTTCCAATTAATGTTCTACTTAGATTTATCGAACAACTCTTTTACGGGGGAGATTCCAAAAGAACTTACTAGACTACAGAGCCTCATCTCTGGCAATGTCTCATCGAAGGATCCATCCCTGGATTTCCCATTTTTCCTGAAAAAGAATGTCAGCCATGAAGCTTTACCATATAAACAAATTTTAAGCTTTCCTTCTACTTTGGAACTTGGTAATAACTTTTTCACCGGGCCAATTTGGCCAGAGTTTGGCAATCTGAAAGAATTACATATTTTGGATCTGAAATGCAACAATTTGTCGGGATCCATCCCCAGTGAACTTTCCCGTATGACAAGCTTAGAAACTTTAGATTTATCCCATAACAGTCTGAATGGGACGATACCTCTTTCTTTAGTTCGCCTCAGCTTTTTGTCAAAGTTCAGTGTTGCTTATAATAAACTGCGTGGAGCAATTCCTGCTGGAGGTCAGTTCATTACCTTTTCAAACTCAAGCTTTGAAGGGAACCCAGATCTCTGTGGTGAGCATGGTACTTGTCCCAATGGCAATCAAGTACCTGATCTATCAGCTAACAGATCAGGAAAACCTAGAGGCACTATTATTGCAATGGCTGTTGGAATTGGACTCGGAACTGTTTTTATTCTTGCTCTTTTGTCCTTGATCATTATGCGGGCTTGTAATCGAAAAGTTATTGATCCTGAATGGCAGGATGCTGATACTGTTGAGAAGGATTTGGAAGAACTAGGTTCGTCGAGTCTTGTTATACTTTTCCAAAACACAGAAACTAACAAAGAGATTTCACTTGGTGACCTTTTGAAAGCTACTAATGATTTCGATCAATCAAATATCATTGGTTGTGGAGGCTTCGGTTTGGTCTACAAGGCCATCCTTCCTGATGGTAAGAGGGTTGCTATTAAACGGCTTTCTGGTGAATATGGTCAGATGGAGAGAGAATTCCAAGCTGAAATAGAAACACTCTCGAGAGCTCAGCATCCAAATCTTGTTCATCTTCAGGGCTACTGCAAGTATAAGAATGACAGGCTTCTGATATACTCCTACATGGAGAATGGTAGCCTTGATTACTGGCTGCACGAGAAAGTTGATGGACCTTCGTCTTTGGATTGGGATATGAGGCTGCAGATTGCCAGAGGGTCGGCAAGAGCACTTGCTTACTTGCACCAATCTTGTGAACCTCATATCCTTCACCGAGATATAAAATCAAGCAATATCCTTTTAGATGAAAATTTTGAAGCTCGGCTGGCTGATTTTGGTCTTGCAAGGCTCATTTATCCCTATGACACTCATGTCTCAACTGATCTTGTTGGAACCTTAGGCTACATCCCTCCAGAGTATGGCCAGGCTTCTGTTGCAACCTATAAGGGCGATGTGTACAGTTTTGGAGTCGTTCTTTTGGAGCTTTTAACTGGGAAGAGGCCAATGGACATGTGCAAGCCGAAAGGCAGTCGTGATTTGATCTCTTGGGTGATTCAAATGAAAAGAGAAAAGAGGGAAACCGAAGTGTTCGATCCATTTATTTATAACAAAGAAAATGCTGAGGAAATGTTATGGGTTCTTGAGATTGCCTGCCTTTGCTTAAGTGAGATCCCAAAGATAAGGCCTTCTACAGAGCAGCTAGTTTCTTGGCTTGATTCAACATCTAGCTTTTCATCAGAGAGTGGGAAATTGTCATCTTTCTGCTAAGCAATAACTATTTGTATACTTCGTAATGAATTTCACAATCCTTTTCATTTTGGCAGAGGTCTAGTGAATATACTTTTGTGCATTAATTTAAATGTAAACATGAAGAGGGCGAGTAGTCTAACCCCCAGCAATGATACAAGCATCACTTCGTGTATCCTATATGTTTTCTTGATGGAGAATATGTTGTTTGTTAGCATATGCAAGTAAAATTCTTAAAATTCGAGGTCTTACAGTAACCAATTTGCATTACAAAGGGTAGGAAGTTGAAATTTCACTCAGTATCCTATTCTCAAATCCGCTTGAGAAGTTTGTTTCTATGTGGCACCGGAAACCACTGATGATAATTTTGCATTTTCATTTACTGTTTCCAGTTTTGTTGAGGCTGTGTGTCAACCTAGTCCGGCCGTCAAGGCCTGGATTGGCCCGACACAGCTACACGCGTATTGTGTTGAATTGTGGAATGACTTGCCAAGCCTCCACGGTAGCTATCCTTTTCTTCGAATTTGGCTTGGTGGTCGCACTACAGGTGATTATAGATCTCGTGCTTTTTTCCACGAACTGATTAGACCTGATATAGAAGTGTGAACTACACTATACCATTCAAGACTCTAGAGATGAGTCGTGGCAATTCTTTTACCTGAAAGGCTGACATTTTTCAATAATGAATGTTACAATTGTCAAAAGCCAGGACTTATTATACAAAATTTGTAAGGTAGCTGCTATTTAGTAGTATCACGATGTTCTTGGAGTAAAAGTCTCAATCGGAAAATTAGCTCATGTTTGATACAAATTAAAATCTAGATTTTAATTTAAGTCAAAGTCAACAATGAATTTTAATTACATATTTCATAAGACCTATCACTTTTCTGCTACACATTTCATCAACTTTTATTAAAAATTATTAAAAATCTGATTTTAATCCCACCAAACAGGGAGTTAATATAAGAAAAATATTTGAAGGAAAATTTGGTTGGAGGGGACCGAGGGGTCCTCCCACAGGACAAATTGTATGGCTGGATGAACCGTTGATAGTTAAACAATTATTAAATCGTTCAATTTGTTCAAAACCTAACGTTGACAAAGTTCGTTCAATTAGATTCAATAATTAGCAAGCTTCCTGTACGACTTTCATGTTAAGCTGACAAAGTTAGAGCTTGTTTGGTAGAGATTTTTTGGGGGAAAAATTGATTTTGAATAGTGATATGATGGGAAATGTGTGGTTGAAAAAGAAGATAAGATTATTGATGTGATAGAAAATATTATTTTATTGAAGAATGTGTGGTTGAAAATGAAAATTGATTTA